GATTCCAGTTTATCCACATCCATGCCACCATTTGTAATTTTCTGATTTTTTTTTTTTATGGTTCCATTCTTAGAGGATTGAGGTGATAACTGTATTGTGGTTTTTATTTGCAGTTCCTTGGTGACTAGTAATGTTGAACATCTTTTCATGTGCTTCCTGGCTGTTACGGTTTATATCTAGATGTCCCTTCAAAGTCTCATGTGCTCTTGGGTAGGGCTTTTGGGTCACATGAGTGCTATATTCATTGGTAGATTAACTCACTGATGAGTTTATACTTAAATATGCTGTTTGGAGGTGGAACTTGGTCAGAAGAGAGAGATCACTGAGGTCATGGCCTTAAAGGGTGTATCTCCCTCTAGTTCCTCCCTTTGTTCTCTGGATCCTGGCTGCCCTGTGAGCAGCTTTCCCCTGCCCAGAAGACCCTTCCACTACGCACTGAAACTGCAAGGACTGAAACTTCTAAAATGTGAGCCAAATAAAGCTCTCCTTTAAATTATGGTTGTCAGATACTGTGGCTCAGCAATAAAAAAGTGCCTAAGACACTGGCCATTTACATTTGAATTTGCCATATTTTTTTGAAGAAAAATGTTTATTTAAATTCTTTGCCCATTGTATTGTGTTTTTACATTGTTCTTGACATTTAATTGTTTTAGGAGCTCTGTGTATATTCTGGATGTTGATCCCTTATCAGATATATAATTTTCAATTATTTTCTCTCATTCTTTTTTTACTGTTGATAGTATCTTTTGATTCATAAAATTTTTTAATTTTCATAGGAGTCTAATTTGTCCATTTTTCTCTTTTGTTCTGTGTACCTTTGCTGTCATATCCAAGAAGTTATTGCAAAATCCAATCTTACAAAGCTTTTACCCTGCTTTTTGTAAGTTTTTTTTGTTTTGTTTTGTTTTCTAAGAGTTTTTGAAAGTTTTAAACGTAGGTCATGTATCCATTTTGAGTTAATTTTTGTGTATGATGTTAGGTAAGGATCTAAAGTCATTTTTTATGTATGGATATCTAGTCAACCCATTATCATTTGTTGGAGAGACTGTTCTTTCCTGGTACATATTCTTATTATGCCTGTTGAAGATCAGTTGGTATATATGCATATGTTTATTTTTGGGCCCCCTGATCTGTCCTGTAAATCTATATGTTTATGTTAGCACCACACTGGTCTGATAATTATCTTTGTAGGAAATGTGAACTTTCTAGTGTTGTTCTTTTTTCAGGATTGTTTTTAGCTATTTAGATGTTCCTTCAGATTTCATATAATTTTAGATATTTATTTCCATTTCTGCAGAAATTATGGGTTTTTCATAGAGATGCTGTTAAATCTGTAGATTGCTTTTGGTGATATTACATCCTTAACAATATTATTTTCCTACCTGCAAGCATGACATATCTTTTCTCATTTCTTCTTTAATTTCAGAAGTGTTTTATAATTTTCATTAAGATTAATTTCTAAATATTTTATTCTTTTGATATTATTTTAAGTGGATTTTAAAATTTCATTTTGTATCATATATATTACCAGGTATAGTTCTCATGTTTGTAGTTTCATTATTTTAAGAGGCTGAGGCAGGAGTATAGCAAGTTTGAACCCAGCTTGGGCAATTTAGTGAGACCCTGTTTCAAAATAAAATATAAAAAAGTGCTATTGATGTAGCTCAGTGTAAAGTTCCTGTATCTGGTTCCCAGTATTTCCCACCCCGCAATGCACAAAGTGGTAAAATGGCATCTTTGTCTTGTGCTTGATCTCAGAGGTAAAGTTTTCAGTCCTTTATAGTTGAGTATAATGTTTAGTTGTAGACTTTTCATATATGGCCTTTATTATGTTGAAGCAGTTTCTGTTTATAGTTTGTATTTTTATCTTGAAAGGTTATTCAGTTTTTTCACATGCATTTTCTATACCAATTGAGATGACCATGTAGTTTTTTTCTTCATTCTTTTTCATTGATCAGTTTTTCAAGGATTCAATGCTGAATCCTTGCATTTCAGGAATAAGTCCCACTTAATCATGATGTATAGTTCTTTTAATTTGCTGTTGGATTTGATTTGCTAGTTTTTTGTTGAAGATTTTTGCTGTCAGTGTTTATAAAGGAAGTTGGTCTGCAGTGTCAGGACGTGATGCATGTCTATAGAATGAGTTAGAGATTATTTCTTTCCCTTTAATGTTTTTGGAAATGTTTGAGAATTGGTGATCTTTAAAGGTTTAATAAAATTCATCATTGAGACCATCTTCTTTGCTGGAAGAGTTTTGATTCCTTACTTAATCCTGATTTTAAATCCCTTCAGATTTTCAGTGTTTTTGTGGTTTATCCTCACTAGGCCTAAAAAGGCCTTTAAATTCTCTAGAAGTCACTGCAGCCAGAGAGAGAGGGACTTGCATGAAAGTGAGGGAGACTGAGTGACAGTGGTTGCTCTCTCTTTGTACCTCTGCCATCAGAATTTTCAGTATCGATCATAGCATAGTAGATTCTGGATATTTTAGGGATGGGTTTCATTTTGCCCGTCCTGGCTCTGGTTGATGTTTGCAAGCAGCTCCTGGAACAAAATGCATGGCTGCGTGCCACAGACTTCGGGGTAGAGGATGGTGGCTCCTTCTGTGCTGATTGAAATTGGATCAAATGAATTACTATTGCCCAAACCTTCCCCTGGAAGTCAGGTGCCTGCAGTTAACTCCCTAATTCCAAAATGGGTAGATGAGACAGGCTGTACCAGTGCCTTCATTGTCTCAATGGAACAGATTCTTAGTGCTTCTTAACCTCCCATCTTCCCAGAATCTTCTTTGCTTGCTTAACCCTTGAATGCACTGGGTATATATATAATATATATAGACTTTTATTTTTTATAATCTAAAAATACCCTTATATATGCATGAATATTTAGGTTTATTTTTTATACATTTTATTTTATTTTATCACATCCCCAAGCCTCCTCTCCTCTCTCTGTACCCAAACTTTGTTTCCATTTTTTCCCTTCTATTTTTACTTTTTTTCTTATTGCTTCCTGAATTTTTAGATTTAAAGAGACTATCTCCCTTTTGTATTTTTAGTATTAAGAAATTAGTTATTCACTCAAGACAAATACAGTAAAATCTTGAATAGTTACATTTCCTAATAATTAAATTAAAATTTTCAAGTGTTAATTTTGGCTTCTTTTTTTCTATTCCAGTGCACTCTCACTTTCACTCTTTCTACTTATATCTCTGCCTTAGTGAAATATTACCTGCTTTTTCCATCCCTTGAGAATTTTTATTTATAGAACAAATTATGACACTTAGCTAGATTTAGAGTTTCAGATACTGTCTGTCTGTCTATGGTAGTACTGGGGATTGAACACAGAGCTTTCACACTGAGTTATAGCACTAGTTCCTCCCCCCTTTAATTTTTAATTTTGAGGCAGGGTTTTACTAAGTCGCTAAATTGTTCAATCTGGGCTTGAACTTGTGATCCTCCTGCCTCAGCCTCCCAGAGCCCTGGGATTATAGGTGTGTGGATCAAATATTATCTTATACTCTCCTATATTATCTGGATGCTGACTTCTACAGTTGCAAGTATACTCATAAATTTGGATTGAGCTGGGCATGGTGGTGCATTCTTATAATGCCAGCACTCAGGAGACTAAGGTAGGAAGATCACCATGGGTTTGAGGCCAGCCTGGACTATGTAGTGAGTTCAAGGCTGGTCTGAACTACATAGTGGAACCCTCTCTCAAAAACAAAAATAAAAACAAAATTGGGTTGAAATGAAAGAGAGTGTGTGTGTGTTTCATGAGGTACAGTGGTTTTGCAGCACAGATTCCTAGCATATAACACACAGGTCTTTAATTCAGAATATTCAAAGTAAATTGCCAATATTATTTATTATATTTTGTTGATTCTGCAATGCCTGTGATTTACAAGATTAACTTTTATTTTATTAACCATTAAAATAGAAAATACTGTCAATCATAAAGAGTCACCCCCATATCATAAATTTGCAAAATTTTTCAAAGAGATAGGGTCTCACTATGTTGCCTAGACCGGCCCATCCTGGGTTCAGCCCAGGTGGAGTGGTACACACCAGCCTTTGGGAGGCTGAGGTAGGAGGATCACAAGTTTGAGGCTAGCTAGATCTACATAACAAGTTCGAAACCCCAGCCTGGATTACATAGTGAGACTTTTATCTCTAAAACGAAAAACAACAAAAAGCCAAACAAAAAAAGCTAGGCACGGTGGTGCATGCCTGTAATCCCAGCACTCAGAAGGTGTAGGCTGAGGCAGGAGAATTGCTGTGAGTTCAAGGTCAGCCTGGGCTACATAATGAATGCAAGGCCAACCTGAATTACAAAACACTGTCTCAAAAAAAAAAAAAAAAATCCTGGGCTCAAGCAAGTTTCCTTCCTCAGCTTCCCAAGTTGGTGGGAATTCCTCTGTACATCACTGTGCCTGGCCAGAAGTGTTCACTGTGAAAAGTATGAACCTTAGAATCTACAAAATTATACATGTGTGGAAAGTATGTTCTCATCACACCACACATGTAGCCATATAGTGCTTTGTTTTCAAAAAAGTAGTAAAGGAAACAGCTTGATGATTTTTCATGTTGACGCTATCAAAAATTTTCACTTTGAGGTCAGGAACCATTTTTAGTACCTATTATGTAACAGCCATCCTTATAACAGTTGCCAACATCTACCTAAGATTTACTGTGTGACATTTTTGACTACTTTCTATATTTCAAATAACTAAATTTTAGAATATTTTTATGTTTTTACACTCAGTTTACCAACAAGGAAACTGAGGCATAGGGAAGTCAAATGACTTTTCTAAGATCGTACTTGTAAGTGGTAGAGCTGGGCTTTGAATGTACATTATTTAACTGCAGAGACTATGCAGTTGGTCTTTCTAAGCACATAAAGATTAATAAAATAATTTCCCAGGAAATATTTGAAGAAGTGTTTAAAAATTTAAATAAAATTATTAAGTTATGCTTTCAGTAATTAATTTTTATTTGTATTTTTAGGACATTCAGTCAGAAGAGGGCTGCTATTGAAAGAGAGTATGCACAGGTAAGCTTGGAGTTGAAGTCCCCATGCTAGGTGTACTTAAGGGTAGATGTGGTTGTCAGAGAAAAACCTTAGTATCCCCCCTCTTGTTTTTCATATTTCTGCTTTCTGTTCTTTGATTCCCCTTTTGTTTCATTTGAATATTTAAGCAAGGAGCTAAATTGTTCATTATTACAAAGAAGATTGTGAACCTGCTGCTAGGAGACATTATGAACAATATTTGTAAAATATTTAAGGAGATGAATGATAATATATTTCACAGGTATACTTATTCATTCTCCTTTATGTGTCCCATTCTCTGCAGTTAATGAAAGGTTAATTTTTATATTTATTGATTCTGAATTTTAGTTTTCATCACTGGCCTGTTGCAGAGGGTGATATGCTTTCAGTGGATGGTATAGAACCTTATCTAGGAAAAGTTAAGGATTTCCTTTAATTTTAATTATACCCTTATTTGTGCTCTCCTTACTAAATATTACAAGAAGAATTATGTTGCTATATCATCTTGTGGATGTGTAAGAATCAGTAACTATTCTATGTACAAAAACAATTTAACATAATTTGCAAATTTTGGCCTTTTAAAGCATTTACTTTCTGTTTGCAGTAGCATTCTAGACAGTCCCCCTCATATCCCAACAAATTGTAAAACTCATACTTGCAGCAAAAATTTAAAATACAAGAGAATATTAGAAGGCACAATTAACATGCAGTATGTATTCTACATGGTAACTGCTACTGCTACTGCTGTTGTTATTTCTATAAATAATGATATTAGGGCATGATTTTCTTGTCTTTTTTAATGCTTTTTTAGGTTCTAACTTTAATTTTATTCAAATTAATTAGGTAGACATCAATCTTTTTTGATTTGACAGTCATAGAAGAGAATTATCTATTCCTTAAAAGCCAGATAAAATTGATTTAGTCAGTAGATGTTGAGTGCTTGTAATGTACACAGTACCATGGAATTAGATTTAATTAATAAGATTTACCCTTGAAGAGTTTAACTATCAAGGGGATTACATTTGGGTTGTTAATACAACCCTATATAATAATATAAGTAAACTATATAAAGTATCTAATCTTTCTAAACTTTCAAATCATACTCAAGATCAAATGTTCCAGTGTCTCTCCACTTGGGAAAATTAGCTCTATTTATTTAAATTCAATTTGCTGACTGTTCTTATTATTTATCATATATACCTGATAGATGATTGATCTGTCTTAGTTCTTATTCTTCAGTGTTTTCCTAATTGTTTTCAACTTATTTTTTGACATTATAGACAGTGTTATCTCTGTGTTCTTGTTTGCCTAGACATTGTTTTTACTTCTTGTAGATATTAGAGAAACTCCACTACTTATTTTAAGCCTATTTGTGTGTCTTATATGAGAATATATCCTCATTGGTAATAGAGTAGACATACAGAATACTTGAATTATTTAAATTATTTCTTTCCTTTACCTTCTTTAGCTCAATGTACAGTTGAAAATTGGGAAGACAATTTTTGAAAAATTGCAGTTTAGCAGATACATAGTAAGATGGACAAATATTAAAATATACCTTTTGATACTTTTTTTGTGAATTGAATATAGCCATATATCTATTACCCAAATTAAAATGTAGACCGTTACTGAGAACCCAGGGAGAATCAAATTCATACCTTCCAGTGGTAACTAGTACTCTTTTCTCACTAGAGTTTATTGTCTTCTTTTACCTTTTTTTAATTGAATATTGAGGATTGACCCCAGGACCTTTCCTTTTAAAATTTTATCTGTGTGTGTATGTATGTGTGTTTAAGACAAGGCCTCACTATGTATTCCAATATGGCCATGAACTCACTGTGGAGCTCAGGCTGGCCTTAAACTTTCCATGATCCTTCTGCCTCAGCCTCTTGAGTGCTGGGATTATAGACATACACCACTATGCTGGGCCTTATTTTTTGCCAAGTTACTATGTTGCCCAGGTTGAGCTACAATATGTTGTATACCAGAACATGTAATCAACCTGTTTCAGCCTCTCGGAGTGCTGGGGTTACAGTGTGTATCACCATGCCTGGCTTGTGTCTGATTTGTTTGATTCAGCATTAAGATTATAACTTTCAAACCTGTTTTTGCATATAGAAGTGATTCCTTATAGGATCCATGGAACGAATATATTACAATTTATTTTTCCAGTGTAGTAATGATGCAAATTTTATATTCATGTTTTATTTTTTCTGGTACCTGGGATCGAACTCAGGACCTTGTGCTTGTGAGGCAGATGCGAGCACCACTGAGTTAAATCCCCAGCCCAACTATATTCATGTTTTAGGGGATTTTGACTAATGCTTCTTAGCAAAAGTTTTATATATGTTTTTGATGGTTATATACATGTAGGAGCAGAGTTGCTGGATCAGTGGGTACATGTACATCCTATTTTAATAGGTACAATGAAGCAGTTTTACAAAGTGTACCATTTTACATTCTCCCCAACAATATATGAGAGTTGTACTTGCTCCATAACTTTGCCCATATTTTTCTCTAAAATTAAAGACTGACATTTTTTTCCATTAAGTTTATTGGTACATTTAAAGTGAACAATACAGTTACATTTATCATTGGGATCTTGTACCTTTATGTGATATATCTTGGTTCTTGTTTTTTACCAGTACTCCTGCCCTCCCTTCACCCCCTTCACCCTTCCCTATTTACAAAGACTTTGTTTCTGTTTTTTCATTTTTTCCCATTTTTTCTTTTCCCTTATTTCCTTTCCTCTCCCCTTTAGCCATTTTCTTCCTATTTCACCCTCTCAGTTATACCATTTGAACCTTATTTACACTTTTAGATTTTCACACCAGAGAAACTATTTGATATTTACTCAAGTGTGTCCTATTTATTTCACTTAAGAGTGAAATGTGCATCCATTTAGCTATAAATGTTTCTAGTTTCTCATTCCTTATGGCTGCGTAGTATTCCATTTTATAGAAAAACCATGTCTTCTTTATCCAAGTCTCCACTTGAGGGACATGTGGGTTGTTTCCAAGTTTTAGCTATTACAAACTGTGCTGCTATAAATATGGATGCACATATATCACTGTGATATGATTCTTTTAATTCTTTTGGAAAGATACCCTGCAGAGGGATAGCTGGGTCAAATGGAACCTCTAATCATAATTCTTTGAGGTATCTCCATATTGATTTCCACGGTGGTTGCACCAGTGTGCACTCCCACCTATAATGGAGAAGGATTGTTTTCTCCCCACAGTCCCACCAGCATTTGTTATTGGTTGATTTGATAGCAGCCATTCTTTCTGGGGTAAGGTGAAATCTCAGTGTTATTTTCATCTGCATTTCTCAAATGACCAGTGATGTTGAACATTTTTTCATGTATTTATTTGCTGGTTTGCTTTTTCATCTGAGAAATATCTCTTCATTTCAGATTCCCATTTTTGAATCGGGTCTTTGTATTTGGGGGGGGCTTTTTTTTTTTTAGTTCTTTATATATTCTAGATAGTAGCCCTTTGTCAGAGGAGTAGAAGATAAAAATTTTTTCCCACACATTGTAGGTTGTCTCTTAGCTGTGTTGGTGATTTCTCTTGCACTGCAAAAACTCTTTAATACAATGAGATCCCAGTTGTTGATTCTTTGTTCAAGTTGTCGTGCTGCTGAGGATTTGTTCATAAAGTCTTCTCCTGTGCCAATGTCTTCAAGAGTTCTACCTAATTTACTTTCCAGTAAGTTTAGTGTTTCTGTTTTTATATATTAAGTTTTTAATCCACTCAGATTTTAGTTTAGTGCATGGTAAAAGATAGGGATCTAGTTTTAATCTTTGGCAAGTTGAAATACAGTTTTTCCAACACTGTTTATTAAAGAGGCTATCTTTCCTCCAGTGAGGATGGTTAGCTCCTTTTCAAAGATGAGGTAGCTGAGTATGTGTTGTTCTGCATCTTCTAATCTATTCGATTGATCTGCAGGTCTGTTTCTTTGCCAGTACCATGCTGTTTTTATTACAGTGACTTTGTAGTATAGTTTCAAGTTGGGAATTGTGATACCCTGTGCCATGTCTTTGTTGCCTAGAACGGTTTTTGCTATTTGAGATCTCTTCTGGTTCCAAATGAATTTTTGGATTGTTTTCTCAAGTTCTGTGAAATGTATTGCATTGAATCTATATAGAAGTTTTGGAAGTATGGCCATTTTCACTATGTTTGTTCTTCCTACCCTTGAGCAAGAGATGTCTTTCCATCTTCTTATACCTTCTTCTTGTTTCAGAGTCCTGTAATTTTCAGTGTAGAGGTCTTTTGTCTCATTCGTTAGATTAATTCCAAGATATTTCATTTTTGAGGGGAATGTTATTAGGAATTGTTTCCCTGATTTCTCTCTCAGTGAGTCTTTTATTTGTGTACAAGAAGGCTATTGATTTTTGAGAGTTGACTTTGTATCCAGCTACTCTACTGAATCTGTCAATTAAGTCTAGCAGTCTTTTGGCAGAGTTTTTTGGATCCTTTATGTAGAGTATCATATCAGCAAATAGTGACAGTTTAACTTCTTCCTTTTCTATCTTTATTCCTTTTATTTCTTTCTTGTCTAATTGCTGTGGCTAATGTTTTTACAACTATATTGAGCAGGAGTGGACATCCTTGTCTTATTCCTGATTTTTAGTGTGAAGCTTTTCAGTTTTTGACTATTTAGAATGATAATTGGCTGTTGGTTTTTCATAGATAGCCTTTACAGGATGAGATAAAGACCATCTATTCCAATTTTCTGTAGGTTTTTTTTTTATCATGAATGGGTGTTGAATTTTGTTGAATCCTTTTCTGCATCTATTGAGATGCTCATATGGTCTTTGTCCTTGACTCTGTTGCTATAGTATATTACATTTATTGATTTACCTATGTTGAATCATCCTTGCATCCCTGGGATAAATCCACCTTGGTCAGGGTGTGTGATCTTGATCTGTATTCTGTTTGCTAGTATCTTATTGAGGATTTTTTCATCTGTGTTCATTAGGGAGATTGGCTGTTAGTTCT